TTAAAAATCTTTATTAAAAAGCATAAAAGACAACTTTTAGTGAAGATAATTCAACAATTTTATCTAACAATTACTTCTACCTATTCTGAAAGCAAAAATCCAGAAAAACTAATAAAACTAAACTACAATGAGTCGTAATGGCGGGGGCCAGGAGAGGCCCTTGTCCAACTCAGCAATCAGGAGCAGGAGCAGTAGTAGGACTCGGATGAAAGGAAACGCAAAGAAATGGAAGGAAGATTAAGAAATAGAAACGAACACGACATTAATTCAACAAGATGGAAATAGAGATGCTAGTAACGCAGGTATGAGTGAATTTTATTACAACGATGACCACAAAGGCCCATACATTGTCTATATAGACAAAATTAATAATAACGAAACCCGAACTCCAATTAACGTAATAAGCGTTAATAGATACATAAATTCGAAGAAAATTGAAGATGTCGAAGACATCTGCAAAATTGGATTCGGAAGGTGCAAAATAATATTCAAGAACGCAGAAGCGGCTAACAAAATGACTAAATCGACACATGAAGGCTACCAAGCAAAAATTTTTGCACATTTCGTCTCAAAAATGGGCATATTATTTGATATACCCACAGAAATCACAGAAGAAGAGCTGATCAATGAGATATCATCACCAGTGAAAATAAAAAAAATAATAAGGGTCATGCGAACAATAAACCAAGACAAATTCCCCACTCGTAGGGTGAAGGTGATATTTGAGGGGCTAGAAATCCCAACGGAAATAACCTACTATTATACAAAATTACAGGTAAAACCCTACATAGCTTTTTCCCAATGTTACAGGTGTTTTAGATTCAGCCATTTCGCACAACATTGCAAGCAACCTAACATAATTTGCCCGATCTGTGGCGAATCGCATGGTAAGGACACTGAATGCCAAAACCAGAAAAAATGCACAAATTGTGAAGGTGAGCATACAGCCACTGATAAAGACTGCCCAGCTAGAGTTAAGGCTTATACAATAAAGAGGATTATGACCCTGGAAAACCTAGCAGCTAGTGAGGCAAAAAAAAATACGCGAGCATATTTGGTAACAGGTTCGAAATATTAAACGACAGCGACACAATTGACAACCAGTTCCCACAGCTACCTAAAACTGCAAAGAGAAAGACTTACAATAATACGATGGAAGCAGCAAAGTTTATGCATCATCAATACTCTTTCAGAAAGGTAGCAAAAATAAATATAAATAAAAAAAGGGAAGAGAATAACGCGGAAAAAACAATGAACGAATGGCAACAAGCTATCCATGAGGATACACAAAACAGAAATCCTAGTAATCTCGCATACCCCACTACCTTTATTTCACACTTCCAAAAAACAAGAGAACATTATCAATAAAATGAACACAAATATTACTAAC